TATACTCCCTATTAATAGAAATATACAGCTATAAAAGTAATAGAAAAAGTTGATTGTTGAGAACATTCACATTTGTTTTGAGTCCATCTGTTAACCCTGTTTCTCTTTTTTCGTATATGGCACACATGAGCCCCAGTGGAATCGAATAGAAAGTCCTGCATCAGGGTTTCTTCACAATTACTTGAAGAGCCTGTGAGCTAAAAAAAGGAAAAAATTAGGAACTAAACCTTGCCCTTTCAATGGTCAAAGCAAGAATTCACCCTGTGATTGTCACCATCACAATAATGACCTAACAATTCTCTTCCCCCCCCCTGACATTTATTTTTAGTTTGTGTGCACATCAGCTGACACCACACTGACCCTGTATCAGTTCTCTCTGCTGCAGAGCTTGTGAGAGGGATTAGAGCAGGTATGGCACTTTCCACTATTTTGGCAGTGCTACTTGGATACGTTGCTTCCATAGAGACTCTGACCAACACATGCACAAAACAAAAGCATTTATAGAAGTGATACTATTTGTGTTTTGACTTTGTTAATTCTTTGGCTGAAGGGTAAAACTATACAATATTGTTTCATCTGTGAAGCAACATTTCTTCTTTTGGACAAGTAGTTTTAGAGAGGTCGTGCAAAAGGGACTTAAAGTCTTCAATCAACCATGATTACATGATTTTGTTGCTACTGAAACGCTGCCAGAAGTCCAATAACTTTAGCTAAGGAGACAATCACAAGTAGGCCAAATCAGGCCAACTATGGTTGAACTTGCCCTTTAATGCGCCGGAAGCTAGATTTGCATTTTTTTAGGAATCCGGCAGCTGTAAAAACGAACACAGCCGAATAGTTTTTATTTGTAAATGAGCTACGCTGCGTGCATACTGTGAAAAGGAATGCAAAGGTCAAAGGGCCCGAGTGCTGTGGGAGATTGTGTAGCTCAGCATCGAAGGAACACATGCACACTCGCTACTTTGTTGTGGTTCAGACACTAGTGTTACATTTCCCCATGGTGCATGAAAACCTCTGTGCATCCTGAAAATAATTTTGAATTCTATATGAGGGTGATGTAGTGACCACCCTGAGTGCAGAGACCTCATTCACAAGCAGGAAGTGGCTGCATTTTATGGATGAACTTTATGGAAGGATCCTATTGGCGGTTTGACACATATGACAAAGTGCTGTACTTGAGTAGAGGAAGTTTTATTCTTAGGACACTTAGCTTAAGGAATGCATTGTGCATACTGAGCTGCTGTACTCGGGAAGGCCATTGTGGAGATGGGGGAGTGTATCCTGCATAGAAGCTTAACTCAATTCTGCCCAAATCTTGTTTAAGGTTGGATTTCCCTCTAAATACTGTTTTTTTTTTTTTAATTCAGCAGTCAAATCTCAAGCCTGTAAAACAATGCTTTTAGTTGCACTAACACGCAATACAATTTAATAATTACCAGTTTTTCAATGCCAGTCTGGGACTATTTTCATCTTTCTTGCTTTCTTTAAAATCTCCTGGTATACTTTGGGAAATGGTGTGCCATAATATCATTTGTAGTTTTGTCGTTGTTGCCAACCCCACCCGTGGTCCTGACTGCATTGTCTTTGAACAGGTGCACTGTGGATTTAGGAGTCACGGGATCTTTTCCAAGACACACAAATGCAGCACCAGGATTAGGATGACCCGATACTAATAGCTCACATCGCTCAGTCTCTTGCTTTCACTCTCTCAATCTGTCATCGTCATCCTCCCTCTCACATGGTTTTGGCCTTTCCTTCCCAATCTGTCACATCTCTCTCTCTGTTTGATTCATCATCTCCCTCACTCATTCTCTCTCCCCCTCTTTCTATCATGGCAATATGTATCTCTCAGACATGGGCTGAATCCATCAGTTCTAGATTCTTGTCCATCTAATGTAATCCCCCAGACCCATGATACGTCAAGAGTAGTTTTCAATGGTACCTAACATTCAACTTGAAATTTTAACCTGTTTTTTGGTGATGGAGAAATATTTTTTTTGTATTAAAAGCAAGAACATGATACATATTACTCTTAAAAATGAAAAATTTGAATGAATCAATAAAACCAGTAGCTTATGCTGACTCATATTAGCTAATATTAGCAAAGTTTTCTCTATTTGTTCTAGTATAACAATGTTAGCGTTAGCATTATCCTATAATTGTCCCCTGTGGAACATAGTGAGACAGTTAAGTGACAACTATTGACATAAAAGAGACATAAAGTCAGCAAACTGGCTCAGTTATGTCAGTTACAAAGCAATAAGTTTGTAGCCATGCTAAGCTAACTTTCATACCAGACAAAGTAAAAGACTGTAGCTGCAAATCCTCTTGAGTGTATTGAACTGAACAAGGGCTGTGTTTTCTTGTGTATGAACTCAACTTTCCATTTCTAAAAGGAAGAATGTGTTAATTCTTCTTTCAGAAGTTGCATAGTCTGGCCTTTTTTTTTTTTTTTTACGTCATCTTATGAGTTTTGTTCAAAGTGGATGTCTCCTCAATGATGTCAGTGACACTAGTGTGTGTCTATTCTTTCCCCTCACTTGTCACGCATTGTGAGTTGCTCAAACAATGTGCGCAAAAGCCCTGCTCCAATACGTGCTGACTGCAGTGGGTGTATTGTGAGAGCGTCGGAGTGGGAATATGCATCAGCGGTGCTTGACCAGTAAGCTGACTCACTGATAAAAAAGATGCCTGTGTGTGCTTCCTATAACAACTTGACCCTTTTCTTTCAACTGGAAGTCATCCAGTAACCAGAGAATGAGAAAACAGTCTACATAGATAAGCGCTATTGTAAACACCAAGAGGTTATATTAATAAATCAACGCATAATTCAACCAACAACAGATTATATTTACAATTTTACAAGAAAACAGTGAATTACAAAACTTATCGGTAAACATTATGCATAAATACTTCAAATAAAAAACCTTTAGCTCTTACTGCAGTGCAAATTTCCAGTATATTTTCTTTTTGATGAGTAAGGATTCAGTTTTTGCCAACTTAGGATTCCCAACATGTTTTCATTGAGCGCTTTCGTCATTGTTGGTCACTCCATTGTCATCGTGGTGCAGACTCCCCAATTTCCGTGGCAACAAATAGACCTTTTTTTTCTGCTTGCATTATCGTAGATGATCTGGGACTTCCACCTGGAAATTGACAATGCTAAGTCAGTTTTAAATGCAGGCCATAAAAAAAAGAAGTTTTTCAGGCATTCATTCATGCTTTTCAAGAAATATGATAATGGCGGCAAAGAGACTGAGAGGAATGAGTCAGTGGTCATGACTGAGAAACATGAAAAACGTTGTAATTATGACTTCTGAGGCATGGGAACAAGAATGTAGTGTTAAAACCACACACGCTTCCTTTCATTATAGGGAGAAAAGCTGATTTATTGTGCTGACGTTAGGCTCATACAGTAGCCAGACTGCAAATTCCATCAGCTGAGAAATTTGAGAAATGTAAATTGTTTTACATGTTCGAAAATACGCTTTCTTGACATGAGTTCGATTGATACCACTCTCATGTCTGTATGATATACTGTATATGATGCTAGCTTAGCTTAGCTTCACACGAAGATGTGAAGGAAACAAGGGCAAACAGCTAGTTGATATGTTAAATATTATTTGTTTAATGTGTGTAAGTGTAAAATTATGTTTTATTGGCTTTACATAGAGCCAGCTGTTTCCCCCATTTCCAGTCTCTATGCTATGCTAAGCTAACTAGCCGCTGACCATGTACACCTTTCTTTGTGACTAACACTGTGCAGACACCTTATAGGAATCATGAATATCTATATTCAATTACATGGACTGCTCATTTTAACTGTTTTCTCGATATGCTTGCAAAACCGGACTTAGCATCAAATCTGTGTGCGATGTCCAGAGTGGCGTCAACAGATGAAGTGTTGGTGGGCAGTTTTGTTAAATGTGCAGTGTTGGTGCATGCTGTGGTAATGTGTCATATCAGTCTTTATCACAGCTCCAATGAAGAGTTTCTAATAATATCTGCACTAAGTGGCAGGAATTTCACAGCTAGGAGACCCTGCCATCTGAGGGCAGAGCTGATTTTCCACTCTAACAATGTAACGAGCTGTGCTATAGCTTCAGCCAAGATAACACTTGTCTCTCATGAGCATAACACAAAAACAAAGTTCCTTTAACAGTAACAGTAACATACTGTTATAATACATGAGATAGACCTGAATTAGTTTGTCTCATTGTCTTTGTTTTACATCTTTTCTCTGTATCAGCCTATCTTCCTCTTCAGGATAAGAATACTTGACTGTCTTGGCTGACATTATTGACTATATTTTGGCTCTCTCTTTGGCTGTAAAGGCATTGTGATCATACCACACTGCTGGTTGGTGGTAAGCAGACTTTTGCCTGCCAACCCCAGCATAGAGACAGAACAAAGCCTGTCAGCCACAGAGATGACTCAGACACCACTGACTCTGTGTCATCCTCATCAAAGTTAAGCGTCCTACTTGTTCAGTTTGCCTGTAGAGGAGGAATGTTTTTTGCCACTTTTCAGTCAATACATTTCTAAATAATTCAATATGATACAGTATTTAGGGGCCAATGCCACTGATGATGCTGATGACACGACTAGAAATGTTAACAATTAAGAGTGAATTTTGACCATTATATGATATATACCAATCAGCAATAACATTATGACCGCCTGGGCACCCTGGTGGTCATAATGTTATGCAGCCCCATATGCAACTAACTGCAATGCACTGTGTTCTGACGCGCTTTCCCTAGTCGAACAGCATTTAACTTTTTCCAAGGCCCAGTCTTGAGCCTACAGTAAGTCTCGTCTGTTTGGATCGGACGCCACATAGGCCAACGCTCACTCCCCTGCCAATGTGCATCAAATGAGCCGCTTGTCCGCCCAAATTAACCTGTCTCTGGTTCACCGCTTTTCTTCCCCTGGACACTTTTTGATAGGTACTGACCACTGCAGACGGGGAACACCCCACAAGAGCTGCAGTCGTCTAGCCATCACAATTTGGCCTGTCAGTGGTCATAATGTTATGGCTGATTGATATATATATATATCCCTATTGTTGCACATATCCTTACACTCACCCGTTTCAGGCTGCGGAGGCTGCTGTTGCGGATGGACTCCATCAGCTGGTCATGGGCTGACCTCATTGGTGTGGATGGCCTGCTGCCCTCCTCCCCTCTCCTCTCCACCGACACGGGCCTCAGCGCGTTCTTGAGCTCCTTCAGGATGCAGCTCGTCTCATCTTTCCCCGACTCCTTCGACTTCCCTTTCTTGCCCTTCTTACCTTTTGTCTTTGTCACCTTCTTGCTGCCCGCCTCGTGTGCCTTGATGACCTCCGCAATCATCCTGGTGGGCTTCTTCTCCCGCTGCGGAGGAGGCAGTGGTGGAGGAGGTGGGGGGGGAGGAGGCGGTGGAGGCGGAGGAGGAGGTGGAGCAGGAGGAGTCTGTTTTTTAGGCAGGTCACTTCGGGGAAGTTTGGGAGAGGCTCTGGGTGAGTTGTAAGGTGAAGAACGAGGAGTTCCTTTCTAGTGATAAAAGAAGGAAGATGGATAATGACAAATACATTTTGTGCTGAAAGTTGCAAGTACAAACACTAAGCAGGGTAAAATGTTGACTGTTTGAATGTGGGATGTTTTATGGGAGTTAGAGTTTAAATTTAAGCATTGAAAGCAGTTGAAGTGTGGGTTGAAGTTAAAGGACTGAAAGGGTTGCAGAGTAATTTGAAGCGTAAGAATTTCAAAGAGTGAAATTGTCATTTGAAGTGTAAGAGATGAAAGCAGTTGAAGTGTAATCATTTCAAGTTTATGTCCTGTAGACAGTTGGACTGTTGAAGTCCACCGGAAGCACTGGAAAAGTAAATAGTAAGTAAATAGTTGAAGTGTCAGTTGTGTAGCAGTTTAACTGAAAGAAGGGTAAGCACTGAAAGCAAGTGAACTGTCAGCTGAGGACTAAGATGTGAAAGCAGTTGAAATGTCATTTGACAAATAAACATGGAAAGCAGTTGAATTATCTATTGAAGTGTTGCGATAAAAGCAGTTCAAATGTCAAAGTTACATATCATTAGCATATAGCTTGTTAGCTGAAGAACTGTTTATAACAGATGTGGAGCCTTTGAAAACAATAATGCCGAACAACAGAGAAGCAGAATGCAATTGTCGACCTGTGCACTGCTTATTAGACATGTTCTATAATGGAGTAAAATAACCAGTGCATGGGTGCCCGGTTGGCTCAGTCGGTAGAACTGGCGACCAATATAAGGAGTTGCTGCAGCGGCCCGGGTTCGAATCCGACCTGCGGCCCTTTGCTGCGTATCATCCCCTCTCTCTTTACCCCCCTTTCCTGTCAGTCTTCAGCTGTCTCTATTAAATAAAGGCATTAAAAAAATTACCAGTGCAGTGGTTCTTGGGTTAACTGCTCCCTCTGGCACCCCCTGATGGTCCTGCTGCTGCTGCCGCTGCTCCTGCAGCCGTTTCTGTCTCTGGCGGTCCTGGTTCCTGGTGAGGATCCCCGTCATGCTCATCCTGGGACCAGGGAGATTGAACTGGTAGCCCAGCTTGATCAAAGTGCAGTTTTCCCTCAGAATCTTCACCATCTCCATCTCTACCTGTGAGGGGGATGTTGTTACACCCGGTTACACATTGCACATGCAGGTAGAGAAGGACTGCTAACCATCTTCCTTAGTGAAGATTTGTTTGATTGAGAAGTGTAAGAAGAGAACTGACCTGTCCTCCACACATGTGTCTCTGGTTGTGAAACCGAAGTTCAGTCAGAGTGTTGTTCCCTGGGAGTGCTTGAACCAGCGCCATCACGCCCTTCCCGGTCACATAGTTGGACTCTATATTCAGGCTGGTGATGGAAGAGTTCTCCCTCAGCATCTTAGCAATGGCCAGAGCCACAGGGTCATCAGCTCGGGTGTTCGCAAGGCTAAAGACCCGTACGTGTGTGTTGGATCTCAGTGCCTCAGCAAATCGGATGAGGGTTTCCTAAGAAGTAAATTAGGATGCTTATATTTTCCAGAACATAGAGAACTTGTCACCACCACCTCCAACACCACATTGAGGATCCCTGAAGACATATAATACCCCCTCTTGCTACTCCACATAATACTAAAATTAGTCAAATAACCTAGCTACTACTTGCCATTGAGTAAACCACAATACGACTTAAACTTAGCTAAGGATGCCTACAGAAAACCTTGTCAAAGCTGTTAAATGAGGACACCATGTTCATTTTCTAGTCATACGAGGCAAGATGCCTGGTTCTAAAAATAAGCTGGCAGACAATCAAAAGTTAGGTCAGTAATGAGCAGGATACTAGCAAGATGGAAGCTAACAAATGTCTAACTAACCAAACTCAAACCACACTTCAAAACTCTTAGAGCTTATCTACTATTTTGACGAAACAGCAGAACTTGGACCTTTATCAAGCAGGTTGCATATTCTGAGCTGTTTGGTTGTAGGTTATCAGGATAGCACACTTGGGCTGTTTTATCACTGTATCAACCTTAAACAGCATGTGTCTATTACCTGTGAGATATCTTCAATGTTGTTGAGATTAACCTCTGTGAGTTCAGAGTCATCGCTTAGAACTCGTTGGAGAGCATCATCGACAACGGTTGGGTTTCCGGTCATGTTTGGGTCGACAGGTGGAGGGGGAGGAGTCAGTCTGATAGGCTCCACCCTCTGCGGCTTCAGTAGCATTGGGGCAGTGACCTGTGACATCAGCGCCCCAGAATCCTTTGAGAGTTCGGGTTTTAAGTTATTATCTTCCTCCTCTTCGTCTTCTTCCTCCTCCGTAACCACTTCCTCCTCTTCCTCACTCTCCTCTTCTTCCTCTTCCTCCTCCTCTTCTTCCTCCTCCTCCTCCTCTTCCTCTTCCTCTTCCTCTTCCTTCTCCTTTTGTGTTTCATGCTTTTTCTGTTCTTTCTCATTTTCAACATCTTTTTCATCCTCTGCTCCGCTGTTTTCTTCTGTCACACACTCCTCCTCTTGTTCTTCATCCTGTATTGAAACACAATACTGTAATCATCAGTATTTGTTTTCTTACATAATATGTATATTGTCAAGCTAAATAAACGCAGATGGTTTAACAGATTGTTATATTTTATCTTTCTATTAGTACTTCAAATGACTTCCCACTTTTAGCTTTTTTGGGTAATCTGTCTTGAGTTCTATCTGATACAACTTCAAACAAGCTGGCTTTGCCTCTGGCACATTGTACAGATGCCAAGTAAATCTAATTAAGTGTCATCACTGACCGGTTTGGGGCTTCCTCCACCTATCTCGTCCTCCAGCAGTCTACGCGTCTCATTTTCCCAATACTGCATGAGGGCCTCTCTGCTGAAGGTGCCTGTCGGGGTCTTGTCAGTCTGGTCTCTCTGTCTGAGTCCTATGGGCACATTGGCATCTGGATCAATGTCCGCCAGCTCCTTCTCCAACTCAGCCAGCTCTTCAGGGCTAAGGGAGGCCAAAAGCTCGTCCTCGTCGACATCTTCGTACTTACTCAGCTCTCGACGGTACCCGAAACAGCTCATGGTGTGATTAGCACAGACCAGTCAGTATAAGTTTAAACTACCACAGAAAGACCAGTTCTTGAGTTGTGATTCAGTCCAGTCCCCAAAATGAAATAGCCGTGTGGGTATAGAGGTTCCAACAAAAGGCAAGGTGGCTGGAGATCCACGGACATAAGGGGTCATTGGAAATTCAGAGTCCAGTTGAGGTGATCCTTGCCGGGCGAAGGTGTTTGGACTTACTGGGTCCAGTCAAAATGTGCTTCTGATGAAACCCCTCTCCAGTCTGAGCCAGATCTATCCTGGCCAGTCGTGTTGCTGTGAGTCTGTGTGTGTGTGTCGGTGTCCTCTCCTCTCTAATCTCACCAGCTGCTGTTTAGGCCTTAAGAGAGGTATCAGAGGGGGAACGTACCAAAGTGTGGACCCCATGATGCAGCGTCTTTTTTGGGAGGCACTGCTCTGAGAGACAGAGCCACAAAAAGCATGTGAGCTCAGAGACTGTGGCCTGTCAATGTAGCAGTCTGTCACCACGGCCTGAGTGGCTTTGTTCATGGCCAAAAAAGACCAACTGGGCCCAACAGAACATAACAAGAAAGATAAACAGAGATAATGTTTGGCCCGCAAAACACCACGGCTCACTGCATATCCGTCAGCAAAGAGATGTCAGCACATCCCTCATTGTTACAGTTTTTAACATAGCAGAGTTACATATGTAGCTTTTCTGTCTGTTTTTAGTTTTTTACCCTGATTCCTCGATTGTCTGATAACTTTTTTTACATTTTGTACAAGAATCCAGCTAATTGTATTTTTAGCCTTGCCAGCAGCATGGTTCTAGGGATGGTAATGGTCTGTCAGTCGCCCCCATTGTCAATATCTTAACTTCCACATGAATTGCCATGACATTTTGTAACATATACGGTCCCCAGGGGATGAATCCCACTGCCTTTGGTGCCCCTGACTTGACATTCCCCATCAGCCTCAGCTTGACTTTAAGTTTAAAATTTTAGCATGCACCAGAAGATTAGCCGGCTGTCATAAGCATTTAGCTTAAAGAAAGGCCTCTCAGAGCTGCTACCATGGCTGTAGACTCTTGTTTAAATGCCCTCACCTTATTTGACCTTTCAAATTGATAACAAAGTGTGGATCAGAATGACGTCAATAGTCGAATGCACATTAATATAAATCAGGTTGCCAAGAAAAACATAGTTGTTACATCACAGGATTTGTTTTGTAAAGTAGCTTGCGTCACTAGTAAGTCGATCATTTGGTGTTTTTATTTTTCTCTTTTTCAAAATTTTGGTTGAGAGCAGATTTAGAAGTTATAGAATGCAAACCTGCTGTGACACACTGCCACGTACAAACACATGAATAGCTCATCATCAGCGTCATCACTCCAAATCTTTCAGTCTGTCTCAGAGAACATAATGAAAACACAGGAATTATGCTGATATTATGGAGGGGTTTTAAACAGCTCAGAGCTCTGTTTGTTCTAATCTGCTGTTGAGTGATAGGTTGTGGTTACACTCAGAATGGCTTTATTAACACACAAAGAGAACAAAAACACTTTGAATCGCTGCTTTGGTGATTTAATTCCACTTTAGTCAGTAAGCTCTAAGATACAGATCCAAACACAGGATACAAAAGTGTATTTTTTTTAATATCATGGTTTATTACAAAAAACAAAACACACAAACAAATTCATGTTATATAAGTTAAGTAAGTTAAGTAACAATACTATAATGATTTTCATTTTCAAACCCCATATTGACTATACAATGTGTACACTTGAAGCCGGCACAAAGTGAGAATAATGTTGTCCACCCACAAAGGTGTTTCCACTTAACCTGCCTAATTGGACCTCTTCGCAGGACCGTGTGGGCGAGTGTGCGTTGTGCTTGATTGCGCTCGGTTGCACCTTTTAGGGCGGTACAACTTAGAGTTATTCTGATGAGTTATTCTGATGAGTTGCTGTGGTTTGGTAACCTTATACAAGTCCCTGCCCTTCCCTGCACTTATCCTTGACCTGAGGTCTAATCAGCAAGAAGTGAAAACACCTGTGTTGTGAGACGTCAAACACATTTGCAATGCAGTCTAGAATATAAGCGTTAATGATATTGTATTAGACAGGAACAGAAAGAGACCGCTATGGCAACACAGTCAACCACAGCAAGGCACACAAGCGAAACTTAGAAAATTAAATACAAAAGAAGTTTAAGAGAAAATATATTCCCATTTGGTGTATTTTAAAAGAGTGACTTGTGCATTTTCTTTTGTGTTTCAATCACACAGATACAAATGAATTGTGTTTCACGTCAGCGAGAGATCACCATACAGGCAGTAGTCTCTGTAGGTCACATAGTTCTTCAGTCTCGGAGGAAAAGGGATGTCAGCCATGGCTTTAGGGTCATTCAGCGTCCTGAGGCTCATGTGACCTCTGATTATCAGTCGACACAAGTGCTGCAGAGACCTTGGCTTGCCTTGGGCGCACAAAAACACATATAACCTTTAGTTACTTAAAACTTCCTCAACATAATGGATCTCTTTTTTGAAATATAAAGTAATGGATCTGATGTTTTACTCAGTATGTCCAAAATCTCATCCCACTCTGGCCTCCTCTTTAGGATGCGTTTGAGCTTGGGACAGATGTTGATATGGCTGACATAGTCCAGGAGCATCCTTACAACACTGCCAACCAGATGTGTCAGCCATGACACAGATACAAACTCACAGAACTGAAGAGAGAAAGAAAAATAAGGAATGGGATTTATTGTATATGTTGTGTTAGTGGCTCATTGATAGGTTGATCTTTCGCACGGTGAACTGACTGCTGTCTTTGTGCGAGTCTAAACGTGCTCTTACTGGGATGGCGTTAGGTTGGCTGTAAATCTGGTAGGCTTGGTTATGGAGGTCAGTCCAGGTACTATCCATTGCTTCCCCATCACCATGGCAACACTGGAAACACCTGCCACAGTGTCGCACACATAAAATGGTCAAATGTGCAGTTTTATAAATGGCCTTTCAGTGCAGTTTCAGTGTTTGCATTACTACACATGCAGTGCCGACAATGGAGGAGAGTGAGAAACAGTTGGCTGATATACTACTATATACTATACTTGAATTTCCCTCGGGATAAATAAGTATCTATCTATCTATCTATATGGCTATAAGTGGCTACCAGATCTGGACCACCTGTGGACCATAATTCATTGCTGTGATGTGGATTTACTGAAATCAAATATGTTTAAAAAAAGCTGATAAATGTACTTGTAAGCGTGATATCCATTGTTGAGCAGTAGTCTCATCATGACGGGGTCCCTCAGGCTATACTGCAGGGCTGTGGGGAACAGTGTGTTGGTGAGCGCTCTGAAATAACAATTCACCTCTGCTCCATAGGACAGCAACAGCTGCACCAACTCATACCTGGAAATGGCCAGACAGAGGGATGTCATAAATTATCATTAATCATGGATTATCCTAAATGAGGATACACACACCTCTCAGCGCGTATTGCGACCAGGATGCATCGCAGTGGGTCCAGGTCAGTCCTTGCTCCAGCCGCCAGCAACATCTCCGCACAGGTTACATCACCATTGGAAACGGCAAAGTACAGAGGAGACTTCCTAAGGTCGCAGTAGTTCTCTGCAACAAGATTTATATTGGAGCAGCTTAAAAGATGCATTATGACTATAAATTATTGTTGCATGATTTAATAGAAAAGATGATGCACTTTGAAGGACAATGCCAGTGGTCTAAATGTAGTTTAACTTGTTTTCCACAATAAGCACTCATAAAACAACATAACAACATTACTATTTTAAAGTCTCTGGTTTCCATTTATTACTCTACAGCAGAATAAATCAATATACAGACATTTTAAACGACTTTGAGGTAGGGAAACCACCACAGCGATCAATTATTCATGTTTATCCTTTGGTCGGAGTTACTACTAAGGTACTGATGTTGCAAGCAGTAAACTCTCTAAACTTGTCATCTGTGGTGCATTTAGGGACTCTATGATCAGAGAAACTTGATGAAACTTAATGTGTTTTTTGAGCAAGCGTGTATGGGAGAGAGTTTACCAGAGATGTGCGTGTCTAGCAAGGCATTGACATCGTATCCCTTATGGATTAGCAGCTCCAGACACTCAACCTGTCCCCCGTCAGCTGCTGAGTGGACCGGGTCCTGGCCTGAGAGACGGATAGCTCTCTTTGTGGTGATGGGGAGGAGAGTCCTCAGGGCTCTACAGAGAGAGAGATAGAGAGAAAGAGAGAGAGAGAGATGGGGTTGAGGGCAAACAGCAAGAGAGTGAGAGACAGAAACAGTGAAAAACAAATGCGAAAAGAACAAAACAGGACATAGAGAAAAATGTTCATTAGATTGTGGTTTGTGCCACAGTGTTATTTGGTGACGGCACTGAAAAACAGTGATAAACAGAAGGCTCTTTGTGAAAATGACTACAGTGAAAACACTGCAGAGCTGTGAGGTGCAGAGAGAGAGACATGTTCCAGTCTACAGTTTCATCAATTTGGCTGCAAAATAGGACAAAAGGAATGTTAATTTGTCTCCAGTCATTTAGTTCTTACTGGAACTGGATTATCGTTTAAAACTCTGATATTCTCAAGCTCCTAGCATGAGAATACAGTCTCAATTAGTGCGTCAGGATGATTGGGTGCTCTTTTGCATCGCCACATGCATCGCCACATGAATGTCAGCTCACAGTATGTGTCCCTCATATGCGGCCCTGTGGATGGGCAGCTGGCAGGCGTAGCTGGCCACATTCGGGTTGGCTCCGTGCTCCAGGAGCAGCTTGATGCAATCCAGGTTTCCAGATCCAGCTGCATCATACAGGACTGTGTCTCCATTTCTGGCCTGGGCATTCACGTCACCACCTAGTGGAGCAAAGGGAAAATACAACAAGGTCTGATGAGTGAGAAAAACTGTTTGTGTGGTATTACTCAACATATAAACATGACGTGATGTGAAGCACTAAACACTGTGTGTATTTTAGTGCTTTACCATGCTGTATGAGTATATCTAAAGCTTCGGCGTTGCCATGCTCAGCTGCAATCCCCAGAGGAGTCACACCATGACCGTCTCTGGCAGTTACTTTGGCTCCATGTCGCAGCAGCAGCATCAGAATAGCTGGACAACCCACCTGGTGCGAGAGACAAGAAGCAAGGACATAGAGAAAGAAGGAAAGATGGTAGAGATGAAGGGAGGATAAACTGTGACATTTAAGGCCTAGATGTTTAGTTCTGATTCTGTCATGCTATAGCCAGTATCAATGCCGCGCTGTTCACCTTTGCAGCTTCATGGGTGGCCGTCCACTTAGTGAGACACACCTGCTCCACAAAGGCCCCATTCATGATGAGGGATAAAAC